AATTCTTCAAGTTGTCACAGATATTGTTCACAGGTAAGTTGGGGAACTAGGGATCGAACCCTGGGTCCTGCATCAGCTACTTCGAACTGGTGAATACCGTTTCACTGCTGGTGGATAAATATTAAATAGATCACGAGTTCAAATCCTTCCATTCGTTTCACTTCCGATCTTCATATCGTCTGTCCTCTCAACGATGCTCATCTGTATGTATTTGCTAGTAGCACAAAAGGGGAGGGTGGAGGGGAGGTGGAGTAAAAGGGATAGAACGCGGAGTTCTATAGGAGTGTGGGGTAGGGGGAGGTTGAGGGTAAGGGGCAGGAAAGAAACATCTGAAGGTCAAGATAGAGTACGACATGCAAACGGCAGGGGAGAGGTGTATGACGAACTTTGCAGAATTCTAAACACTCGCCGCTGAAACAGTCTACTCTAGAATGGCACAGGTTGCAATTTATTTTTTTGGTTCATGAGCAGTTATTGCCTATGGTAAGCGGCCACCCCTACAGACCGGACAGGAACGGTTCGGGTGTGGACTGTGGAAGCACCGCATCTAATTTTTGCAGTCACAATTACTGCATCGAATGGCGCGGCGCAGACGGATGTCACAGGCTACGTGGCTCCTACATACTCGGAACACAGAGGAATGTCGACCGCAATTATAGAGGCATAGTCGTTCCTGCCCCTATCTACAAATTGGACACGACATGTTGGGGTGCCGTACATGAGTACAGCACTGACCGTCGTCGTACATATGGAAGCAAAAACTAGCGGGCATGTGTGTGTGTGCGTGTGTGTGTGTGTGTGTGTGTGTGTGTGTGTGTGTGTGTGTGTGTGTGTTCAAAACCCCAAACCCTCTCTCTCATACCATCCACAAACCATCACAGACCACCCATAAAAGGAAAAAAAGTACAAGTGGGCAGCACATCTGCTTCATGTTAATGCAGGTGTCCAAAAAAAGGAAAAAAAGGGAGGTTCCCTCGTTTGTGTGGTAGCAGGAAGTGCCAACACACCCGTCTGCCACCGGAGCATCAGACTTGCACAGATATATATTTTGTTCAGTCTATAAAAGAAAACAAGTGGACCCGCCGCGGCTTCGCGCGTGGAGAAGTGGAGGGAGGGTGGCAGAGGAGAGACGGGGGGCAAAACGGGTCCAGCCTCTGCATTACAATTGAGGTCTGTGCCGGAAACCGGAAGAGATCTACCTCAAGAAGCTGTTTGTGTCATCATTGGCTGCTGGAGGATGTGAGGAGCATCATCCCTGCTGCTTGATTTCTGTCCGCTTGGGGGGAACATGTCATAGGCCGGCCATCGTTGCCGCTTGAATTCTGGCAGCACAGAGCACGCAGGACAATGTTGGCTCTGTAGATATGGGCAAGAGTCTGAGTGAGGCCCATGTGTGCAGCTTGCTGGCCGGCCTGCCCATCACGATCTCCCCCCTTCCCTTCCTCTCCCTCCGTCCTCTGTCGATCATCTGTGCAGCTTGCCGGCCAGCCTGCCCATTCATGATCTCCCCCTTTCCCTTCTGTCCGTTGCCGTCTTTTCTTGATTGCTGGCCGAAATGGGAAAATACACCGCGACATCTTTTCTCTTTTGTGCATGTCGTGAGCAGTGGAGCGAGGCTCATCTGTGCAGCTTGCTGGCAGCCTAACCCCCCTCTCCCCTTTTCCTTCCTCTCCCTCTGTCAATCATGATTCCCCCTCTTCCCGTTCTCTCTCTCTGTCCTCAGTCGATCACCGTCCTTTCTCAATCTCCATGTGTCCACCTTGCTGGCCGCGTTGTCTATCATGACGCCCCCCCTTGCCTTCTTCATCAGGCCATCCCCATCAGTCCACCTTCTTTGCCTCCCAGTCGATCACGATCCTCCTCCCTTCCCTTTGTCACCATGCTGTCAATCACGTAGCCTGAGCGAGGTTCATCTGTGCAGCTCGCTCGCCTGCCCATCATGATCCCCCCAATGCCCTTCCTCTCCCTGTCCTCTGTCGATCACTATCCTTTCTGCATCCCCTTCCCTTCCTGGTCACATCCTCATCGTCCAATCCTCTCTCTCCATCTTGATCTTCGCCGCCCAGTGCATTACACCTGCCCCCCCAAAAAAAAACACAACGAATGTGCACAGAAAAAAACAAAAACACAGTGGACGTCCAAAATGAAAAGGAGTCCTGCCCTAGAAAATTGGAAGGCACCACGATATTTTTTCTCATTTGAGCATGTGGTGAGTAGTGAAGCGAGGTTCATATGTGCAGCTTGCTGGCCACCCTGCACCCCCCTCTTCCCTTCCTCTCCCTCTATCCATCACGATCTCGCCCCCCCCTTTCCTTCGTCACCAGACTGTCATAGACCAATCATGCAGTTGGAGTGAGGCCCATCTGTGCAGCTTGCTGGCCGGCTTGCCCATCACGATCCCCCCCGTTCCCTTCTTCTCCCACTGCCCTCTATCGATCACCGTCCTTTCCGCCTCCCCCGTCACCACGTCCCCCCTTCCCTTCCTCATCACACCGTCATCCTCGAATACTCCCTCCATCTCCAGCTGCCCACCAGTCCATCAGTGCCCATCACGATCCCCACCTTCCCTTCGTCTCCCTCTGTCCATCACGATCATCCCTCCCTTCCCTTTGTCACCACACTGTCATCGTCTAATAACCTAGTCTGAGTGAGAGCTGCCCAGCTTGTTCGCCACCCAGTTCATTATGATCCTCCCTTTTCACTTCGTCACCACACTGTCATCCATCCAATCACGTACTGGTGTCAAAAATCCCGACAGAGGAGGGGGGGCGAGAGAGACTGAGACAGAAAAGAAAGATTGACCATAAATTTTCATTCATTCTTCTTCCTCCATCTTTCCTCCTCCTCCTCCTACTGTTTCTCTTCCCCCTCCTCCAGTGCACCTTCCTCCTCCTGTTTTTTATCATAATCCGACAATAATCAGGGGGAAAACGAAAACCGAAGAAAAAGGAAAATGAAAGTCATTGTCAGCGCCTGGCAAAAAAAGGCGAGGGCGGAGCGGATGTAGTCTCGTAGTCTCCTCATCATCATCACCCGGTACTCCCAGCCTTCCTCGTGTCCTCTTCCTCCCTCCTTCCTCCTTGCTCCCTGGCCTCGTCGCCATCATCACCTTCCTCATCCTCATCCTCATTGCTCCCGTCGTCCCCGTCATCACCTTCCTTGTCCTCCTTACTCCCGCTCCTCCTCGTCATTGTCAGCCGGTACTCCCAGTCTTCCTCTTGTTGGAAAGGATGTTGTCTCCTCGTCATCATCAGCCGGCACTCCCACTCTTCCTCTTGTTTTCTTCTTCCCTCCTCCTCCTTCGCTCTCCTCCTTTTCCTCCTCGTCGCCATTATCACCTTCCTCATCCTCCTTGCTCCCGCTCCTCGTCACCATCATCACCTTCCTCATCCTCCTTGCTCCGGCTCCGCCTCGTCCCCATCATCACCTTCCTCGGCCTCCTTGCTCCCCGCTCCTCCTTGTTGTCACCATCATCTTCCTTGTTGCCATCATCATCTTCCTCGTTCCCATCATCATCTTCTCGTTGCCATCATCATCTTCCTTGTTGCCATCATCATCTTCCTCGTCCTCCTTGCTCCCGCTCCTCCTCGTCGCCATCATCACCTTCCTCGTCCTCCTCGCTCCCACTCCTCCTTGTTGCCATCATCACCTTCCTTGTCATCCTTGCTCCCGCTCCTACTCATCCCCATCATCACCTTCCTCGTCCTCCTTGCTCCCGCTCCTCCTCGTTGCCAGCATCACCTTGCTCCCGCTGCTCGTCGCCATCATCATCATCATGACCATCAGCATCCTCGTGACCGTTGTTAACATTATCATCAGCGATCGAATTGTAATGACCTGCCAAAACACAGACTGAGAACACTGCTGATTTCTGCGCCTTGCCGCTGGAATGTATGCCTTGCTGAGATTCGCATGTTGTGCTGAGTTTTCGAAGTCTGTGTGTGTGTGTGCGTGCTTCCTGGTCTGTATGCCTGTCTGAGTGAACGTCTGACTAAGTGAGTGTGTGTGTCGCCCGACGGGGCACTTATGTGTTGTGAGGCCCGCAGGGCCGGTACTTACCTGTGGCTGTGACTTTGAGGGTTGCAGCCGGGGAAAACACTCAAGTAGCGGGGAATAGGCCCGCGACACTTAGCGCAGAGTGGGGAATACGATCAAGTAGCAGGTAGGCCCGTACCACTCAACTAGTGATAGATGTGTCGGGAACTGGAGGCCGAGCAGAAGAAGACAAAACTTGGCATTTTTAGAGGCCCAGTAGCCGTAGGCTAGAGGTAGGCGGGTACCAGTCTAAGTAGCCTGAGTCTAGGGCCTGTGCGGACGATATCAGAGCCTGCAATGATGTTTCCCTCCGAAAGGGAGGAGGGACTGGTTGCTTGGAGGCCGCGCGGCCTGGAAGTCACCGCCCAAGAGTCAAGTGGGCTGCTGTATCTCCAGGAGGAGCGAGTAGCTCCTCATTTGCAGTATGCAACTGCTTGAGCGAGCACTGTCACTCGGAGCGCTGCCTGGAAGGAAGGAGGAGAGTTGGGCACTCTGCCTGGCTATGGCGAGTAACCCAACTTGAGGAGGAAGAAGGGGGTGAAGGATGAGAGTGGCGAGGCACCTACCTGGCTATGGTGGACACCATCTTCATCACCTTGTTATGCGCTGCATCTGGAAGGGCTCAGTGGGGATAGTGCCGCACCAAGGAAGCTCCAAGGCAAAGTCAGGCATGGCGGCCTGAAAAGCAGCGGCCATAGCTGCTTTGCGTTGTCTTTTGCACAAGAGGGCAGATCCCTTAGTAGCCCTCCATAGCCTAGGACTGTGTGAGGAAGAAGAAGAGGGAGGCCATGGCTATGGTGGACCTCTTGTTAAGCTAGCAGTAAGAGGGAACTTCGGATATTGATTCTGGTCCGACCACTTGAGGAAGAAGAACAGGGAGGCCATGGCTATGGTGGACCTCATGTTAAGCTAGCAGTAAGAGGGAACTTCGGATATTGATTCTGGTTTGACCACTCATTGTTATTATTATTATTTTGGAGAAGAATAAGATTGGCGGAGACAAGGAGGAGAGTGGAGAGAGAAGGGGGATTTTTCATTGGTCTTGCTGGTGTACGTCTTCTTGTTCTTTCTTCTTCTTTGGTCTCTATCTCTTTGCAAGTGCTTTCATTTCTTTCGCAATTGGGTGGGATTGTCCTTACTTGTGAATTTGCACTTCGGAAATAGCCAGGATCGTAACAGAATGCATCTATCGTGCATCCTCCTCCTCACCATAGTCACGGTCATCACCATCATCATTGACCCCTGTTTCATCGTCCTCCTTTTCCTCCTCTGCCGTAGTCCCGCCACCATCATCACTGTCACCGTCATCATCGAATCCGTATTTCTTCCCTCGTCTTCTCGCATATGCTCGTTCGCCCTAGTCCACATGGCCTGATCCTCCCCAGCCCCCGACATCAGAGAGAGGGAGAGATAGAGAGGGAGAGAGAGTGTACCTTCGTTGTCCCTGCCACATAATCGACCATCATCACTGTCACCATCATCATCAAATCCGTATTTCTTCCCTCGTCTTCTCACATATGCTTGTTCGCCCTCGTCCACATGCCCCGATCTTCCCCCGCCCCCGACATCAAAGAGAGGGAGAGAGAGTGTACCTTCGTTGTCCCTGCTACATAATCGCCTCGGCCACTGCTTTCACCTGTCTCCTCTATCCCTCGTGCCCTCTTTCCCCATTATGTCGGTCACCTTGTCCGCGCTCCTTCCCTGTACTATCCATGATGACGCTGAGCTCTCCTCTCCGCACTGGCGCTGCTCTACGCTCTTCCTCTCTTGCCTGCTTGCTTGCCGCTGGATTCACACGTCTCTGGGCCCGCATCCTGACCGCCCTCGATGCCACCAATCGGCACACCTCTGAATAGCACTGGTTGGCCGTCCGGATTCGCGCGCTCCGAACTACGTTGAAGTTCCTGACGAGGGCAGCAGCCGAGTTTTGGTTGGGCCCATTTTTCAAGACATGCAGAGAGCAGCGCCTTGTGCCATCGAAGACCCCCCAAAAAATGCGCGGCCGAGAGAAAAAAACAAACAAACGCGGGTTCCAACATGGATTGCCCTGCCCTGGGCCTGGCTGTGGACCCGATTCGGAAATGGGTTTCGCGGGACAGTGTCACGCGAGACCCGTTATTTCTTTCAGAAGAGTAAGGGAGATAAAGGGAGCGCCAAGCGCCGACTCACCTGTCTGCCGCCGAAGCTCACAACTACAACCTACTCCACAGAATGACATACCAGGCACAGATGTGTGTGTTGTTAAGAAATCCCAAACTCTCTCTCTCTCTCTCTCTCTCTCTCTCTCTCTCTCTCTCTCTCTCTCTCTCTCTCTCTCTCTCTCTCTCCATAAACCATGACAGACCATCCATAAAACAAAAAGGAATGTACAGGTCGACAGTATACTAGAAGATGCAACGTTCCCTACGTTTGTGTGGTTGAGCGGGAAGTGCCCACACACCCATCTGCCGCCAAAGCGGCACATTTGCACAGATATTATATAGTTTTCATGTGTGCATGTGTACGTGTATGTGTGTATGTGTGTATGTGTGTCTTTTCGTTGTAGATTTTCACCATGCTAATCTTCTCTGTATCATTCCACTTACCAGATGTCCCAAAGGACACTGACCATGTGTTCTATTCGGGGGAAGACGATGGCATGGCCTCTGCATACAAGGACTATGTGCAGGAAGTAACTGCAGTGGTCTTCTACTAACAAACAGTGCACAATGCGCAGCTAACCATGGACAATCGTGAATGTTAGCCTGTTGGCATGACATCAGCCAGCAACCTGTTGCTTTGTGGGGAAGACATCAGCAAGTTGTGCCACGTGGCCAAGAGGCTGTCGCCACATTTTCATCCAAGACTCAGCTGCTCCAGACCACTGCCTTGCTCATACTACTCCTTCCATTGTGCCCAATACGTCTCGCTCACCTCCTGATACTCCTCCCATGAACCCTTCGTTACCTGAAAAAAACCACCAATCTTCTTTTCATCCACCCTTGCCACTTTCCTCCCCTTCCCCCTTTCCATGCAGTTCCTCTCCTTCTTCTTCCCACTTTTAGGCCCTTACTACCCTGCCCCCCTCGTGGATGACATGGTCCAGTGCCCCTACACGTCATGGGTGAAGGGCCACTGGAGCAGTTCTTGGGTGCACGTGGATTCGATCGGATTGCATCTGGAATTCAACTTGGGTCTGTATTTCAACATTTCATGGGTACCAACGAGCTACGCCCATCTTCTTATCTTTTTTTTTTTCACATGCTCAGTTTGAACAAAGGCGTATTTCTGGAATTCACTAGTACTGGTGCAGGTCGGAAATTATGACCCGAAGTACCAATGGGCCTAGCTCAGTTGGTACACCCCCACGAACTGTTGAAATACAGACCCGAGCTGGAATCCAGATGCCACCAGATGACAAGGGTAAAATCATTCTGAATCACCTGGAGCCGGTCAGTTCAACGATGATCTCTCAAGGCCGCCGCCCTTAAACAAAAAAGAAAGAAAGAAATAAAAAAGAAAGAAACTTTAAGAAAGAAAGGAAATTACTGCCCTATGGTGCACATGCAGGGCGGAAATCTAGGGAGGGTATTAATGTGCACATACTTTTCATTTTGATTCTTTCAAAATGAAAAGATTAAGGAAAATAAGGAGATAATTACTCTATAAAAACATGGACGTACTTTTCGTATCCATTCTTTTGATGTGCAAATAGTCCACTATTCTGGCTACCTCAGGGCATACCCACACAAGGACTTTTTCTAGTGCACTGAAGACGTTATCGCGGTCAGGTTCACTGAGGTCTGGCATGAATTGCAGTCAGATACATTTAGAAAAGCCGTAGTCTGAGTAAGCCGTCAGGTGGTACCCTTGCACTTCCATATTTCCAGGGAAGATTCTGATTATCTGCTACCCTGGGCAGTAGCCGTAAAAGTCACGAAAGTGATATAAACCGATCACACAACAAATAGGTACAACTCAAAGTACGAGTCATAAGAAATTGCATCATAGAGGAGAAAAAGAAAAAAAAAAAAAAAAAAAGAGTCATAACAGCTAGTACCCGCTGGTTTGGAATTCCTAAAATGTATGTGGGAACGGCAGAAAAGAGGGAACAAGTTACTGCGCAATGCAATTTAGGATTAGGAAAGAAAGAAAAAAAATAGTGCATACTGGCAATACAAAACAGACTGACGACTAGTGTATGGACATTGCGCGTGTGAGTATGGCAGTGGGTATTAGATGACTACCGTCTTCACCCGAATAGAATGTCTGGTCAATATCGCTACATCTGGACTTAAAATTTACCCAAATACAGCTACAATGAATGGGCGACCTATCAGGTGAAGACGGTAGTACAACAGAGAACAAGGCCGTCGTCTGTCTATGGTAAGATGGTTGATTTTATATTATTTTTCCCAACTTGGTGATGCCGTAAAGGCAGATCTGGAGCTAAACCCTACGGGGAAGACATCTCTCTCTCTCTCTCTCTCTCTCTCTCTCTCTCTCTCTCTCTCTCTCTCTCTCTCTCTCTCTCTCTCTCTCTCTCTCTCTCTCTCACACACACACACACACACACACACACACAC